ATGAAGATGGGTGTACAAATACCTGTCTGAGTCCCAGCTTTCAATTCTTTTGGGTATACAACCAGAGGTGGAATTGATGGATTACACAGTAATTCTATGTTTAATTTTTTTGAGGAACGACCATAATGTTTTCACAGCAGTTATATCATTTTACTTTCCCACCAACAGTGCACAAGTGCTCCAATTTCTCCATATCCTAGCCAATACTTGTTTTGTTATTATTTTTTTTTCATTACAGTTATCCTGATGGGTGTGAAGTAGCATCTCATTGTAGTTTTAATTTGCATTTGCCTGATTACTAATGATATTGAACATCTTTTCATGTACTTATTGACCATTGTGTATCTTCCCTGGAGAAATGTCTACTCAAGTCTTTTGCCCAATTTTGAATTGGGTTGTTTATTTTTTGTTGAGTTGTAGGAGTTTTTTATATATTTCGAATATTAATCCCTTGTCATATGCTATTTGCAAATATTTTCTCTCATTTTGTGGGTTGCTTTTTCACTCTGTTGACAGTGTAACTTAGGGTACAGTTTTCAATTTGTTTTTCTCTTGTTGCCTATGCCTTTGGTATCATATCCAGGAAATCATTGCAAATTATGTCAATGATTAACCCAATGTCATGAAGCTTTTCCCCTATGTTTTTTTCTAAGAGTTTTATAGTTTTAGCTTTTATGTTTGATCTCTGATCCATTTTTAATTATTTTTGCATATGGTATTAGGTAAGGGTCCAATTTCATTTTTTTTGTATGTCGATATCCAGTTTTCCCAGTACTTTCCCCACTGAATGGTCTTTTCACCCTTGTGAAGAACTCATTTAACCATATATGTGAATGTTTATTTCTGGACTCCCTATTCTAGTCTATTGGTTTATATGTCTGTTTTTATGCCAGTATCACACTGTTTTAATTACTATAGCTTTGTATTAATTTTTGAAATCAGGAAGTGTGAGTCCTCCAAATTTGTTCTATTTAATTGTTTTTAAAGCAAATTTCCCTCTTAAATTTCTTAATAGATGTATACCAAATTCGATTATATCTAACCTATGTTGGCACAATTCTGCTGGATTCTAGAGTTAGGAGAAGAAGCCTTAAAAGAGTGTTTTAATACTGAGCTACATGGTGCTTCCTATCAGTAGTCTAAATCAGAGATTGCAAACTTAAGTGCTTCAAGGGGCTGGGCAGGTTACATAAATGACTGAAATGACTTTTAGAAAAAGGGAATGGTAGAGAATGTGAGGAACCATGAGTACGTGCCTGACCCATGTTCACACATCCAAAACACATTTTGAGGGCCAAATAAAACAATGTGCAGATAATTTGATCCTGAGGCTGCCAGTTGGCAAACTGTTCAAAAGTTTTACTGCAGAGTCTAAATGTGATGAATAAAATGACATTTTATATATGGAAAAATATATGTTCAAAACAGCTTCTATAGCTTCATTTTTACATGTGTATGTATGTGAGAGAGAGAATGTATGTGTATTAGAATATGTGATACATGTTCTTCATCCTACTTAGTCAAGGTGGTAGAAGACAGTGGGAAAGAGCAAGGATTCTGGGCTTAAGCTACCTCCTGGGTTTAAATCCCAGTTTCATCATATGCTGTTTATGTGACTTTGGGCAAGATGCTAAACTAAATTCTCTAATCTTCATTTTCACCCTCTTTGCAATGAAAATAATAGTATGCTCCTCATTCTATTATGAGAACCAAATAAGAGGATAAAATGATTAGTACTAATAGCACCTGGCTTTTAGTAAGTGTTCAGAAAAAAATTACCATTCTAGTGGATTTCAGATATATAAACAACTTTAGGAGGCATACTATCAAATAAAAAATCAATATATGAGAATCCAAGTAAAGAAGGAAAATTAGTATGAAAATAATAAAGTATCAAGGGTAAGATCTGTATATCATAAATATTTGATATCCAATTGACTCACACACAGTTCCTTCCACATAGCAAAAACAAAAAGCATACAAACATGGTTCACTGAAGCACTACCATGCCATCTGCAGTTGACTTTTCACTTGCTTTGTTACAGATTAAACAACTCTACTCCTGCTTTCCATTACTTTAAGTAGAGTCACGGCTACATAGAGAAGAAATATAAACTTCCATATTTCTTTCTCTAAAAATTATTTTGATAGGTGGTAGTCTATTTGGGGAGGGGGATAAGAAATAAATGATGAATCCAAAACCCACATGTTTAAAAAACAATTTCCAAGGCCGGCCGAGCAGCTCAGCTGGTTAAGAGCTCGCTTGGGAGCGCCGGCTCTGAGCAGCAGAGCTGCGGTTCGGATCCCACATTGAGGGCCAGTGATGCTGCGCCCTCTATAGCTAAGATGATGAACAACAGCTTGACCTGGAGCTGGGCTGCTGTGAGTTGCCAGCGACAGCATAGGCTGCAGCGGGGCTGCAGTGGGCTGCTGTGAGCTATGTGAGTGGCTGGCAGCCAGCGTGAGCAGGCAGCAGCCTGTGAGCTGCCGGGAGCCACTGTGAGCAGCTGACCAATGACCAGCTACTGATTGCATCACCTGGGAAGAGCACAATGATCATACCAACATGGGCCAGTGAAGCGACGTCCTCCACAACTAGACTGAAGAACAGGACAGCAACTTATCCCCCAATTTCCCAATTAAAAAAAAAAATTTCCAGCAGCTACATCTTTCCATTAAAAAATACCATCACCATGGTTACAGTTTGTGATTGACACTTATTCCAATCTATTAAAGTCAAGGATTTTAAACTAATTTATTGAGCACAAAAATTTCAAACCCATCTGAAAAACAATTCACTCTACAAATTTTTATAGCTCTTTAGATAAAATACAAATACACCTCAACAATTTGATAGATTTTTATGATTAAGGCACTGGTAGGAGGAAATCTGACAATAATATTGCTAGCTACTTTTTTTTTTTTTAAGCTGAGCCATCCTGCTACCTGTTGGCAGCTCAGCGGCTGCTCAGCTCGGGCGGGGAATCAAACCGTTGTTGCTCAGAGCTCAAACTCTTGAGTGAGCTCTTAACCAACTGAGCCACTCGGCCGGCCCTGCTAGCTACTCTTTTGATCTTAGGAAGCCTAATCACTGAATGGTCTTAATTTGTGGAAATACCTATGGGACAGGAAAATAAGAGCTAAATAAAAAGAAGTAAAAAAATTAGATATCATAGGAGATGCTGGCATTTTTTGCACATTCCTCACTATCCATTTTTTCGTATCTATCAAAATAAGTAAGCTTACCGGTTTTACATTCCATGCAGATGAACTTTCCATCAGGGAGTGATGTCAATCCCAGGCACTCCAGGTGAAAGTTTTTGCAGCACTCTCCCTCACAAGGAATCAAAGAATCACCAGAGCTTTCACATATCTGGGAAATGGCATAAGGCAGTGGTTCTCAAACTTTAGCAGGCATCAGAATCACCAAAGGTCTGTTAAGACGCAGATTAAGGGGTCCCTTTCCTAGAGTTTGATTCAGTAGGTGTGAGGTGGGGCCCAAGATTTTGCATTTCCAACAAGTATCCTGTCAATACTGCTGCTAGTCCTTGGCCTTCACTGTGAGAACCACTGAATCAGATAACTACTTCCAGACCCATTATGGTATAAAGTTTAAAAGTCATATTTGATCTTTTATGATTCCTCCTTTGGAACCTGCATACTTTAACTTTTCTTCACAGGGCAAAGGAGTTTTTTCAAAAAGGGTAAATATACACTAAAACTTCACACTAACTTAATTTTAAGAAAACGTTTTTTAAACCAGTCATCTGCCATTTACTTCCAATTCATAATACAGTATCGTAATGAAGATTGACATTTGCATGTGAATAAATATTCCAACTCAGAAAGGGAAGAGCCAGAAATGGATTTTAGACCCATAGCTTTAAAGTAAAATATCATAATTTAGAAAGATACTACCCTTTCCAACAAGAGGTAAGTATATTATTGGCAGAATCTGATAACAATTGCTGCAAGCTATAGGTCACTTGCTTACCTGACACACAGTGTCCTTCTTATTCATTCCAAAGCCTCTTCTTGACAAACTTGAATCCACAGACTGAACATCAGAAACATCTGCATCTGCAGTAGCTGAAGGGCTATCTACTTGCTTTCCAAAGCCTACCTACATGGAAAACATAGCACATTTTTAAGAAAAACAAAACAAAAATTTCCTCAAAGTTAAGTGCTATGAAAATCCTAGTAAGAGTTGCTCAAATAAACTTTGATACAACCCCCCCTTTTTTTTTCTTTCTTTCTAAAACACGTGGATACCATATGTCTGGTTTTGAGAGAAACTCCAATTAAAATTAAGAAACAAACTATGCTTCTCTTATTCAAGAGATAAGCAAAATTAAGACACAATTACAAAATAACCAAAATGACTTCACTATGAATATTTTTAAAAATCCACATTCTCCCCAAATAAATCAGGCAAAGCAATATGTATGTTACTTGGTTTGGCAAAGCAAAAAAGAGCACTGTGCTCAAACCCTTGAACATATTTACCTGCAGGTCACTCAGGCCTCTAGAATCGGAGTCAGATGTGTCTCTGTATGCTGAACTAGTCATTTCTACATCAGTTGAGGCGCGACTCCTTTTCTTTAGAGGTTTACAGGAATCTGAAATCTCGCTGGCACCTTAATACAATACACTGAAATTAATCCTAAAATAGTGCTTAAAGTTTGTTGTTTTATTTTTGTGGGAGAATGTTTCTTTCCCCAAACTCATCTGTAGTGTGAGAAAAGCACAGCTCTTTGTAACACTGAAGTCATAAGTCAAAAGACTTCGTAAGCTTCTGACCTTCCTGATGGTGATTTAATTTACAACCGCTCTATTAAAACATTTAATTCAGTGCTCCTGCTCTAAAGCTATTTTCAGTCAATAAAGCCCAAGTTCAAACCTAAAAACCAATTCTATCAAAACTGTAGGATAGCTAATTTGGAACACTCCAAAAGAACCATTCAATTTGGAGGGGAAGACATAAAACCCAACACACTGTGTAGCTTACAAATATGGTTGCAGAGACATCTCCATCTTGTTTTTATTAGGGATGTGACAAATCTTTGATTTGTATTCGATTCGTACACGGATAGTGCCATTTTCCCCGGAATTTTGCAATTTAGTTGATTATTACCCCCCAAATAAATTTTGGATGTTCATAATTGTTCATCTGAGACTTCCTTGGTGAAGTGTCATTTATTGTGACAATTAACAAGTGCTGCAGCACATCTACGTATGTCATGCCATTTAGGAGGCACATTGCTGAGGGTTGTAAACAGACAATCAATGTTCAAGTGCAGCCAAATCATGAAGAGCTGGATGTGAGGCCTCTACGTGGAATTTGCGGGAAGAAATAAATATATATATATTTTTTTAAAAAAAAGGCAAAGAATAGTGTGGAATTTTTTTTTAAAACTGTGTGTAATACAAATCCAGCCAAAACAATAGTGCAAAAAGTTACAAAGCAACAATCTCTTGGGCTAATGCAGTATAGGCTATACAGAAACAGCCACGATGAAATGTGCAGATCAGGCACGGTGAACACCAAGGAACCAAGGAGACGGTTAATATTTCAACCCACAGTTTGTGTTTTGGATTTTTCCCCCCAAATTTCCATACAACAGACAGACATCTAGACCAGCCCAGCAAGCTATGGTGGAAGTGTGCAGTCCAGAAGAGACCGTGGAGAAACAAGTCTCCTGAGGCCATGGAGATCCGCAACAGGCTGAGTGGGAGTAGCACTTGGTGTATAGCCATGTTCTGTGGTGGAGGATGTGGGTCTCTTTAGACTGCTCAGATTACTGGAACCTCGTTATCACATCCCATTCTACAAGTTTTTCACTGAATGTTTCCTTACATCTATAAATGAGGGTGCCTGCCCATGTTAACGCTGATTAAAAAACACAAGTACACAAATCTAGCTCCTTCATTGCTGGTGTATGGACCCAGAACACCACCACAAAATATTTCCTTGGCCTAAAAGATCACTGGATTAACAAGGAGTTTTAACAGAGGAACAGGAGTGCTGTACTGAGAGGCTTTCGAAGGGAAACAAAGGTACCGCCATTTCCGATGAGTTTCTGAAAATGCTAGAAAAACGACAGACTGCCAAAGACAGCTGCCATGCTGTTCTCCATGATAACGGCACTAATATTAAAAAAAAAAATAAGAGCTTTTAATGATTGTAATGTACACAGTTTGGGCTGTTTGGCAAAACCCTGCAGATGTGCATTAATGATGCTTTATTTAAAAACAAAAAAACAAAAACAGTCCATGTTGAAATTGATCAGTGTAAGTTAAACGGTGGTTTTTAGGCTGGACCCATGATTTAAGCTGTACCTATCCAGCTCAGACCAAAAAAAAAAAAAATCATTTGAATGTTAAAGCAATTGTTCAGAGTCTTGAAGAAGAAACCAGGCAGGAAAATGCCAATAATGATAATTGGCAAAATCAAAATTGAAAACAAAGAAACTGTTTATCGAGCCGCCGACAAAGAAATCTTGCATGGAGACTACAAGTCTGGAGTTTCTGGGATGAAATTGTACAGGAATCTCAGTCCACAGTTTCCTCAATCGCTGCGGAGACGGAGCTGTCACTGAATCTGACAGAGCCCTGCACTCCCCGGTCCGTCGACCCTGTGGAATGGTGGAAACACAACGCAATCAGGCCTCCTAATCTCGCAGCGATCGCGATGTCTTTTCTTGGAGCTCCGCCAAGCAGTGTTCCCTCCGAGAGGCTGTTCAGTTCTGCTGAGGATCTCCACGGAGACCATCGCTGCAGACTTCTCCCCGAGAATGCAGAGAGGCTGGTGTTTTTTTTTGTTTTTTTTTTTTAAATAAATAATGCAATTTGCCCAGAGTAAACTACAGGTATTAAATACAGTCTGAATGATCTCACCAAAAATGCACGAATCATGCTATGGAGTTTGTACTGTAGTCAAATTGCACACAGAAAATACAAATATAAGTTTAAGGTTTCTTAAACTTTGTGCATATCTCAAATAGACTTGTATAAGGTCATCTAATAATGGCCATAAATATGCTATGAATCATTTTAATTTACAAAAAGATTTTACAGCACTGTAAAAATAAACGTGGAAAAGATTTTTTTTTCAATCATGTTGTCTTGTCTGATTTGTCATAGTCCATGTTTGACAAACATTAACAGCTACTATTCGGTATTCAGTCGAATACCAAAAAAAGTGGATTCGTCACATCCCTAGTTTATAAACCAGTGAAACCCCAGAATTTATGGAGAAAAGTTGGAAACAGTATCAAGTCTACGTGGTGTTCTCCAATTTACTAAAACAAATGAGACTTTTCACACGGAAGTACAGAATAAGATCAACTCTAAAAGGCACACGCGCGCGCACACACACACACACACACACACACACACACCGAAGAATACTTCAATTTCACACAAATTATTGACTGAAGAACAACAATGATTTACAGAGACAAACAAAAATACATGAAGTACAAATAATTCTTTAAAATTGGTTTTAATCAAGGAAATGCAAAGCAACATTATAGTAACTCACCTTTCTGTAATCCAGTCTTCACTGTAGCCTGAGGAACTGTTTCAACCTGTTTGGACAGAAAAACACAGCATTAACAAGGAGTTTTTTTCACTTTTGATTAATAGAGGGAAAAAAATAATACTTCCATCAATCTAAGTAATGATGAGTGATTAATGTATCTGAATCTAAACTCAGTCCCATCTTCTGGGTATAGTTCTCTGTCTCAAGGTCAGGGAGGGTTTAAATCCTAGCTGCCTGTGCTGAATACCAGGTGACAACGCACAGCCACATGCTTGCTAGCAAAGACTTTTCCCACCATTCCCTTGGTAGATGAAGAGAACAAGAATACTTTCCTCAGTGTCTGGGAGGCAGGAGAGGGGTTGTTTCTGCAACCAGCCCCGATGTTGCTATAAACCCCTCCCGCCCCAAAGACGTTAGGATAAATTTTTACTTACTATGATACTCAGGTTAATGTAACTCACGCCACTTTAAGACCCTTCCGCGCCTGCACTCACAGCTAAGTTGCTGGGAATCAGGACCCTCTCTGTAGAGAGTGCTACAGGGCTCCATACAGCTGGAAGCTCAATACTTTTGCTGCTAGTACAAACTTAAGAAAATAAGTTTGTGATATTGCAAAAGCACTTTCTTGAGTGTCTTATGAACAGTGTCTTGATCCTACATTAGGAGAGCGAGATCAGAAGTTATTCTGCCAATGTATATGTAAAACACGTGGTAATTTGAGGATTGAACCATTGGAATTAAAGAAAGGATGCTGTTTGGAGGAGTTCCTGTTTAAGCTATGAACTGAATTTTATGTTTCTTTAAGATGTGGTGAAATATGCATGTTGAAACACATTTTGTAAATATTTAAGGATTGTTCTAAGCTTTTTAAAAAAAATTTTTATTTTTTTTACAACAGGTAAAAAAACATACAACAGAAGCGCTTTTATAAGATACAATTAGTAATACAAATATAAAATCTTCTAAACAATCACTGGTATTGTTCTACTACTAACTATAACACAGTGGCATTAACAATTTGTCCCATTTTGTACTCATTCTGCTTATTAATTTTAAACTGACTGGTCACAGACTGAATTTGGGAACCAGCTGGCAAAATCACAACTTCAACTTCATTTGGGTAACGAATACTGTAGACTTGCAAGACCTTAGAAAGATTTTTTGGAATATAATTTCCTAAGTATGAAAGTTAATTACGATAAATGAATGACAAATTAGTATATTATTTAAATTTTATCAATAGCTAAATATTGCTGGGAAAATTGTTTTACAAGCTTGATGATACCATAGAGCACCCACAAAGTCAACTTTTAAGTTTGGAAGTTTAAAATTATGAAGGAAATAATGGAAAAGTTCACTCTTCCATATTAATTGGTTTTAAAAATATAAAGCTTATTGGAACTAATACCATTCAGAATTCTTTTGTTTTAATAACAGCTGTCTGGGCTGTAAAAATGGATATTCTTTCACTTTAAAAAATTAAAGAAAAATTCTGACTGTGAGTTTAATTAAAGGGAGTTGGTTTCTAAAAATTTCTTTGAAAAGGTAATTTAATATGAATATAACTACATTAATTAGACTGTTTTAAGACTTGTTAGTCAAAATGCCCCTTCTCTTTTATTTTTACTAAGTGTTTATCTGATAACCTAATAACAGTGCCATTCAATTGGGAAAATAACATTCCAAAAAATCTGTGATACCAACAGAAAAACCAGGTCATCTATGATTATCTGTTTCTTAAATATAATTCTTGTATTTAATTTGATTTGTTTAAAAAATAAAAACAATACATACCAGCAGCTTATACCAAAAATCAAAATTTAAAAAAAGGGAACTCAATGATGGTTCCAAATAAAAATCATGAAAACATGAAATCATTTTGCTTATAACAGAAATTTCAAAATAAATGTAAGGAATTCTTTAAGAGTCTTGCACCACTGGCTTCCCATCTCCTGAAGCCTGACTGTTTTCTGTGAAAATGCCTGAAGCAGAATCACAGGATGGTTGTATTAAAATTGGGTACTGGAATTCACCAGGGCAGAAGCATAAGATAGTCCAGAAAGGAAACCCAGTGTGGGGAAAGTTTCTTTCTTTTAAGGTACCAATATAAGCCACAACATTTACAAATACAATGTTTTAACTCTCTACATGTAGGAAGCCAACCTGCTCCTTTTTGATCTTCTTCTTTGGCACAACCTCAGTGGATTTCTCTGATTCAGAACGAGTTCTAATTGATCTTCTCTGTTGTTTTTTTTCTACTGAGCCTAAGAGATGATTTAAAGAAACAAAAAAATGATTGAAAACTCATTTAAGGATGCCTTGACATTTATGTAATTAAAATTTGACCAAATTCCCTGCTTTCCTTACCCATTTCTTTTGGTCTTTTAATTATAAATCACTAAAAAGCTATTAAATATTTGGGAGCACATAAAAATTTTTATAGATCAAATTATAAAGGCTGATAGGCTAAGACTGGAATTCATAAAGGACTCTAAATTATACAAATGAAGAGAGACTAGAGGTTTTTTTTTAAAGATTTTTATTGGGGAACTGGGGGATGGGAACAGCACTGAAGAATTGGGAGAAGGGGAACAGACAAGTTGCTGTCCTTTTGTTCTTTCAGTCTAGTTGTGGAGGACGTTGCTTCACTGGCCCAAGTTGGCACCATCATTGCGCTCTTCCCGGGCAAGGCAGATCAGTCACTGGCTTCTGGATG